TTCCCTAAACTTCCTGCCATTTTCTATTTATTTGGAGGTCATATACCAGAGGATCGAATTCTGTGTATGGACCACTAGTTGCACAAAGCCAGAAGGTTAAGCAAATAATAAATCACCCTGGCCGACAGATTTAAGTATAGGAAAATCTTCCAAAGATTTCCGAAGAAACGTTCAGACTTCACTTCATTTTGTTCCCATATAAACAAACGTATACGATTGTTTTTCAACTAAGCCCTTAATTATAGCCCTTCTTGTTTCTCTCACCTTCTTTCTCATGCAGCACGTTGAAAGGCTGCAGAAGCTCATGTTTAGCACACTCCACCACACCCAACCTGGCCTTGCCTTCATCCTCAAACGCTCTGGTGACGCAAACAAAGAAAAGAATAATGAGTGGGTGAAACTTCTGTTTTTTAAAAGAAAAATTCAAGTGAAATAATTGATGTTTAGTTTTAAGAAGCTACCTCAGAGTGAACGGCATTGTATCGAAGCGCCTCTCCATCTCACTGAAAAATGTTCGAGATGTCTTCATCTTTAAGCCGTACACCTTGTTGGGGTCTCGTTTGTAGACGGTGGTCCTCTGACCTCCATCCCTTGCCTATGTTGCAAAACATTATATTAGATATGCTTTTAAGAAATTGTAAAAATGAAGAGAAACAAATCACATTACACCAAGTTTCCTCTCACCTTTCCCTCTCCAGTGCTGATGAGCACATCCACTGCATATACCTCATGCACTTCAAACTCAGCCTTCTCATGGTCCTTTCTACAAAAACAAAGGGACAAAATCATCAACTGTTAAAAACACCCATCCGGTTTAATGTTAGGTTAGACAGGAAGAAGTGGTTGAGTGAACTCACTTTTGCTGGTCTGTTGGGTTTTGGATGATTGTTTTCTCCCCATCGATCACATGTTGTTTCAGCTGATGGGACAGCATCCCTGCACACATTGAAGGAATATGCTGAGTCAAGCTGGTCAAATTACATTCGGAAATGTATACCATTGGAATCACAAGGATTGAAGGTGCCAAATGTTCATAAACACCCACCTTCAATAGGGGAGCACTTGAATGACTTTGCAATCTTGTTCCAGGCGTCTGTGACCTGGGAGTTCTGATGGAAGAGAGGAAATGATATTTATTAGATGAATTAAAAAAAAGTCATGGTGTTGCTTTTGTCAGTGGTCATGGCGGGTGAGTTTTACCTTGTTTCCTGGCTTAACAAGACGAATAGCAGCCTCAGCACACAGGTGCGCCGCAATCAGAACGTCAGCCTTGCGTCCAGTCAGTGGGTTTTCCTGAAGTGACACAAAAGGAACGTTTATTAGTTAGATATAAGAGGTTACGTAGCAAAGTTTTACTAGCCATTAATGGTGTCGTATAATTCAACGCTGACGACAAACCTTGGTCACTCCAACAACGAAGCTGTGAGCCACATTTGAGATGAAGCCATCAACGTGCACACCCAGATCACTGTGTACAAACAGAACAGGAAAACATGAGCCAGAGAAAGTATCTGCAAACCAAATATAATCCATCGTGTATCTAGTTCACAGGATGGATAAGGGAAACATTTTGTAGCTTACATTTTGACAACGTCTCCGTCCTTCAGTATGACATCAGGGTCACTCTTCAGAGGGGAGTGATGGCATACGGTGTTGTTAACCGACACACAAGTAGGAAAAGCACTTCCTGCGAGAGAGAAAGAGGGTGAATGAGGAGTGCTGACAGAGACATTGATGATGACTGATGAACTGAAACAATAGACATACCTTTCTTCATGTCTTTCTCCTTCTTGAAGATCTTCCCAGTTTCTGCCATGACAAAGGCATCTCCCTTTTGGCACAGGCTGAGAACAGAGACTCCAGGCAGAGCTGCCTCGACCACTGTCTTCAGAGCCTCTGCAGGACGAAAGAGAAAAAGAAGCCATGATGAAGTAAAAATTGTAGGTCAGTAAGCGAGTACATATGGGCTGCAGCTGATGATTATTTGCCTTATTGTTTATTTGAATGATTATGTTTGGGGCAGTTGATTAATATTTTTGTTCCACAAAACATTATAATTTAAGAAATTTCCAAGAAGATTTTCTAAAAGTTTATTCGCCTAACCCCCAGTTCTACACAATATATTTTCTGTTTATTTCTTCGATTAATCCCTAATCATTCCAGCAGTATTAAACAGGCTCACACACTGTGGAAACATAGCACGGTTAGTTAAAAGAAGGCTCTTGCTCACTGTTCAACACCCATCCCTGCATTAGAGCATCATTACACTGTGAACAACTAAACTGGAGTAACGTCAAGTAGAAAACAAACATCTGACAGATTGTCTGACAGCTGTACATCAGCTTGAAACAGCATAATGCAAGCGGTAAATTAGATTGTCTTAACCTCAGATAAGTAGGTCAGCTGTGATAAATGTCAATACAAAATCACAAGGACACACGGTGTCATTTATGCAACACTGATGTAAAGACCCTACAGAATGAATCTCCACAACCTAGCAGAGGTCCAAGGACAGACTGGGAATGAAAACCGACCGTCACTAAAATGTATACTGAGCCACACGATTTTCTTTCCGTAAAGATCAGGATAATTGGAACATTCAATATTTTAAGGCTAAAGTTAAGTGTTTCCCTAGCAACACAAATAAATTATCCGACATTAGTTTAGTTCAGATTAACTGTGGCTAACACGTGGAGGTTTTACTATAGGTGTATTTAAATGGCACGAAGGTCAGCTGTTCATTAGACTGTTGGCTTGCCAAACAAAGACTGTAGAGCAGCTGACAGGTGTGAGTGTGTGTAACCTTTGAGTGTTAAGATGTGCAATGTGAAAAGGCGTGTTTTAACATGCCTTTTAACTGGATTAATCAAATGTAAAAATGTTATATTGGTGTTTTGAATGCTAAAAAAAAAATCTGAAATATTGATATGCCTTAAGCTATAAATGCAAAAGACTGATGCTTTTAAGTTTGTTAGATTAAGATTGTAATCACATATAACAAACTTCAAGGTACACTATTTATTCCACACTAATGATGTTGTGTGCATACACGTGGTCTTCAAAACACTATATGTATTTGAACCTCAAGCAATAACAGCATGTTTAGCAACGTCTGCGATTCATGTTGGTTACTAAAAATGTAGAATGTGATTTAGTTCAATACGTAATTTTAGTTGGACACGCAGTAGTGGGTATTTAACTCACGCTAGCTTCTACTACTTACTTCTGACTTTAAATGACACCGTATAAAACAACAAGATTTCCAGTTTCTCAAGTTACACAACACTTTTATATATCTCAGTTAGAAAGCCCTGTATGTTTACATTTAAATGTCGGCTACTCAGTACTTGAAACAAGCCCATATTGTTGTTCAATTGTATACTTGTCATTGTTATCCGTTACGTTAGCAGTCGAAGCTAGCTAACGTTTGCTAGTGAGGTAGCTAAGCCACATAGCTGCTCAGCTAGCTCACCAGGCTAAGTTGACAGCAATGGGTCCTTTAACAAATATGGGCTATGTTAAATAAAAACTCGATCTAACATTACAAGCTATAACAAGCGTTATGCTGTATTGATATTAAAACAAGGCCCGCTATCTAATATGATCTGCAGTTGGTACTGATGCGGCACATGGCACAGCAGCTGCCTGGGTATGACTAGCTAACACTGCTAGCTAACATCACACGGGTCCTGATACTTATGGACAGTCAAAACGGTGCGTTAAAGCTGCATTTCACTCACGATTCGCAATCTCGGCCCCCATCTTATACTTGGTGACCACCAAGTCATCAGCGATGGTCTGCTCCTGTGAATCGTCATCCCCAGACATGTTGGCAGTGTTGTCTGCGAAGTCAAGAGTAACTTTTTGCCCGGCGGTTGTCAGTCAGTCACAGTACGGACCACGCTGCTCTCCGATCGGCCCGCCCGACTCCAGCAGCACGGCTCTAGATCCCGCCTGCTGCCCAAGACACACTTTACGGTCAAGATAGTTCACGGCATAGCAGCGTCTTCGTCGTCGTGTTACACCCGTAAAAGGCAAGGGTGATATTTTAAATCACATCATCTGTGTTTAAAATTAAACCATGGACAAGTATTCATAGCCAACATCAACGTATGCTCACTAATAGCTGTTAATGTCTTCATTCTGGCTATGGCAGTCTTTGCTAATCACTTACTCACATGATCTAAGTCACTTAATTCCTATGGTATGGAAGAAGCAACATTGACTGAAAAGCTGATACTGTGTTACAGTATGTATGTACACGTGCTTTTGATTAATATGTTTATTTATGATTCTAAGATATTTATAATATTTGTGTTTATGATTCTAAGAGATTTATGTGTGTTTATGATTCCAAGACACTTATGTTTATTATTTTAATCATTTACACAAAAATTGACCTGTTCCCTATTTATCAAAAACAATGACAATGTTATAATTAATGAGACAAAAATCAGAATATATAAAAAAGGAAAGATCCCATTTAAAAGAAATTAAGAAAATATAGATGTAAAATGTACCAAATAACCTATTATTCTTAGGATACAGTTTATATTGTATATATTTATTTTTGATGTGATAGACTAGACTGCATTAGTGCAACTCTCAACATAGGACTAGCTAAATCCTTCTAAACTAGCTTACACACTTCATTAAATTGTGGTAAACCCTTTAGCCTATAACTGTGTTTAAGCGGAAACGGAAAAAGGCAGCACTGAACTCTCACTTCACCGATCATCTTTGATTGTCCTCCGACCAAATCGCGCGCGAGTGTGTAACTGATGCGTTCACATGCCTCCATCTCATTTTCTGCTGTTATCTGTATCACAAATACCTCTGTATCCTCTGTACATATTCAGAGCACATGTGTAAAAATAATTATTCAATTTTAATACATGATAATGATTTAAAAAAGTAAATATAATATAATGTATTATATACAAATATAAATATGTCCGATTTTTGTATTGATTTACTACTCACACAATGAAATGACACAGTTTATTTGATGTTTGAAAAATTATTGCATTTATTTATTTGTATAATAAAACATATTGGCAATAACAAATTGTACAAAAGACTGCTCTACAGAAATCCGTCCTCATCATCAAACTAGCCTACTAAACATTTCACAAGTCTTGTAACAATGTCACAACATATTTATAGAAAATGCATGGCAACAAAGACATACAACACTATCATGCATAATACCTTTTTGTTGAGGAAATTGAAACGTTTAAAATGTTCTAATTTGTTATAAAGTTTGATATGAGTAGTCACTCATCATGACACATTTGGCATACATTTGCTGTCCAGTGTCTCGTAAGTCCATGGGCTGGGCACCATATGGTAAAGCACACTAAAATAAACAAATCCATTAATCAAAAATACGCAGGTACAGCGTTAAGGTGAACTTAAAAGTCTCAACAGACACTTTCAAGCACACAACATGTTTGCCTTTATTTTGTGATTCTGCACCGCCTCACAGTTGGTTTCATAAACATTTAGATACTGCATAAAACTGTGAAATGTTGCACAGGTGTATTTCTTTTATCACTTGAAGCTTTAAAGTTTGTTGGATGCTCAAATTCTTCAGGAAAAACTTTACAAAATAACCCAAGTTTATGGCAGGAAGGAACATCAAGCGGCAGTATGTGTCCCAGTCCACGTCATTAGGTAAGTACAGCATCTGGCTTGATGAACAGTCTGCTGTGCCAGTAGTCCGGGTTGTCAAATGAAGAGTTACTGCCAGGCTCCCCCATGCCAGCACACACCTTGATGTATCCCCCGATCCCCGCACACCTGCCACTGCCCATCTCTTCAGAAACATTTCTCCCCTTCACTGGGAGGTTCTGGTAGTCTGCCTGCTCCCACCCACTGGGCAGCGCTCCAAATCTGGTCATCTCCTCATACTCCTCCACCATTTCTCCCCCAGCTGTGAGCACATCTGGCCTGGGCATGACTATACTGCTCGTATTTCCCTGAAGTGCAGGTTGTTTATTTATGTTATGATCCTCCTCTTCCTCTTCCTCTTCCTCCTCAAGCTCTTTTTTCAACACCTCCACTGATTGGTCGGATGCCTCTGCGGCACTCTTTGCAGATGTTTGACTCCCACGTCTCTCCCATGCTGGATCCTGTGCCTCCGTAGAATCAGATCGCCTGATATCCATGTATTCATACCTGCCTACTCCTTGGGCTGCCTCTGCGTTGTTATCCGCAGCTCTGATGCCATTATCAGAGGAAACCGTGAGCGGATGTTTCTCCGTGGAGTCTCTTTCCTCTGCAACACCTGCTTCACAATCCTCATCTACTTTCTTACTTGTCAAAGCTGAGACTTGTTTCAGAGTTTCAACATGTGTTGCGTTCTCTACAGGTAATGGATTCATGAAGGTTGGTGAGGGTAAAGGTGAGGTTTTATGACAAACAGCAACAGAAGTGGCTTCTTCCGGTAAAAAGACACTGCTGTTTGAGCAAGAATGAGCACTTGACTCTTTGCTCATTATTTCATACTCCAGAGAGGGATTCACCACCACGAGAGACAGATCATTCTTGAGTCTTGAGTTTCTTCGCCCAGAATGAGACACTCTGACTGTGAGCCAGGACAGAATAAGTCAAAGAAAAAAGGTCAGGGGGAAGAAGCCTGGATTATGAATTGCTATTGATAATATTTATTTACTTTTAATACAGTCAAGCAGATAATATGATAAGTTAGCATGCTGATAGTTTACCTCTTTCAGGGGTCACAGGTGATGCAGCCAGGACATAGCCATAGTTGTCCACCTCCTCCTCTTCCTCTGCCGTCCACACCTTATAAGAGGAAGGGCTTGATGCTGTTGAGAGTTTCCTGTTCTGTCTGATGGACATACGAGGAGTTCCCCTCTCGGAGCCAAACCTGGCCCTGTGAAGTCTCCCGCTCTGTGACCCCTCCTCTCGCGGCGCTGCCTCTCTCCCTCTGAACTCTGACCTCTCCGGCAGCGTCCGCACCGAGCTCAGTCGAGACCTCTGGAGCCACAGCTGAAAGAGAAAAGCAAATAATTGATGAAGCAGCTAGGACAAATCAATAGTATTATTTTCAAATGAGACCAGTGGGACCAGAATGATACATTTAGTCTTACTTCCTGAGGCCATGACCTTATTGCAGAGCTGGGTTGTAATATTGATTTTTTTAGGACTATCAGCAAAGTGTAGCACTAATACTGATTGAAGAAAATGCTGTTTAAAGTTAGAGCTAAATATATCTATTACCTGCAGCGGTGGGAGAAGAAGCCAGGCCTTTTACTTTACTCTACAAGATAAGATCATGTATTCAAAATGTATATATTAAGTTGCATGCAAAAGAATGTACTCAAAGTACAAAAAGTAAAACTACTGCATGGCCTTTTTCTGATTAATATTACTATTTTTTATACTATCGGGTAGCTTTGGAATTTCACAAAGGGATCAATCACCCACAATAACACTTGATAATAATAATTTGTTAGGTTTTATTATTCATCTGAATCTATCGTCAGAGTAACTAAAGCTGTCAGATACATTTAGTGAAATAAAAAATAGAAAATCTTCCCGTCACCGATCCCCTGTGCGATTACAGAGTGTCAGTGTTTGTGTGAGTGTGTGAGTGTGTGAGTGTGTGAGTGTGTGAGTGTGTGAGTGTGTGAGTGTGTGTGTGAGTGTGTGAGTGTGTGAGTGTGTGAGTCTGCATCACCTGGCGGATGCTGTCCACAGGGCTGGGCGTCATCGGCAGGTATCCCACAGGTCCAGCCTGAGAGGTACCACTCTACAATTCAATGTAAAAAAAAGTGTTACGTGCTGGTTTCCTCTGCCTCTGATGTATTAACAACAATCCCCAAATAGGCTTAATAACAATTCTAAGGTGTATTTCATTACCCTGTAAGAATTAATCCGTGAACGGGACAAACTCCAGGATGGAGAGTGTTGGAGAGGAGGAGTCGTCAAACCGTCCTCCAGCCCCTCCTCGTCTTCGTCCTCCAGATCTGCATCCAGAAGCCCTCGCTCAGATTCCCTTCGATGGCTCTCTACCAAGGCAGCCTCTTCTCCTTCCAACTATACAATAACATGGAAGTAAATAGTTTACGGTCTTAGTAAACAGCCAGTGAGACTAAGCAGTAAAAGTAATGCAGGTGACAGCCTCACCTTAATGACCAGGTATCTGGGGGGGTCTCTGGCCATGCGAGTAAAGTCACTGGCCAGCTCTTTGAAGGTCGGCCGAATGTTTTCATCAATCATCCAGCCTAAAGAAAGGAGATAATTTAAGTTATATTAAAGGTAATGTACAAAACAACATGTACTTTCTGATAGTATCAGTAGGTTTGTTGATGTTTGTTTTGCATTGAAATTGTATCAATACTTATACATGATTACTATTATTACTAACACATGTCTTACTTAATTTTGTATTTTATTCTATTACCAAATGTTTCATTCATTTTTTGTAACCAGGTTCATTCATTGTTTTTCACAATGATAATTGATGTTTGGCAGTGAACTGTCCTGGTAATACAATTGAATGGAAACTTGATTTATATCTTTGTGTGTTTGTGCAAACTGGTCCCACTCACATTTCACCATGACCATGTAGACGTCTATGGTGCAGATGTGTGGCTGTGACAGTCGTTCGCCCTTCTCCAGCAGACTCGGCACCTCCTGAGGCGGCACAGATGTGTACGGCTCCGCCCCAAATGACATCATCTCCCAAACTGTCACCCCTGTGAGGGAAGAGAGATCACATTTAAAAGCTCCCTGTCAAAAGATTGTTTTATTGGTACATACTGTCTAACACTACACAGACTCACAGTGACACACAGCCACTTACCATAACTCCAAACATCACTTTGATGAGTGTATCTTCGAAACAAAATGCTTTCCAGTGCCATCCATTTCATGGGTGTCTGGATTAAGACACACATTGCAAAGTCAGACAGATGGCTTTGTGTACATCAACAGGGTTGAACAATTCAAAGTGTATGCTGAACTGAATGAGTCATTACCACCTTGGTGTCAGTGAAGACATATTTCTTGTCGTCGGGATAAAGCAGGTCTGCTACGCTGTAGTCAGAGATCTGGACCTGGTAGTCGTTCTTCAGCAGGATGTTTCGGGCAGCCAGGTTCCTGTGGACCATGCAGTGCTCCTCCAGGTAGTACATACCCTGAAACACGAACGTACATACACTATATATAATCTGGCATCTTTATATATAACATTTAGTTGAAGTGTGAAGTCTGTAATTCTGGCTGAGCTCACTTTAGCAATCTGCACACACCAGTTGAGCAGGCGCTGGGGGTCCAGGCTGTTCTTGTGTTGCCTGATGTGCTCCAGTAAAGACCCCTGGGCACTGAGCTGGGTCACCAGCTGCAGACTGGGACCCGGACAGATGCCCAGCAGCCTCACGATGTAGGGATGATCCAGGCTGCCCATGCACAGCATATGCTACAACACATAGCAAGGTGAAAAGTCACAGTTTACTTTACAGATACTTATCTTTTATCTGTATTTTTGAATGAAATGTCAAATGTATTGCTATTTCTGTAGTTATAACTTCTTTCAATAAGCTTCCCTTCTCACATCAGTAATCTCATTGAAAGTCTGTCGGCCCGAGCTGTCCTGGATGGTTTTGATGGCCACAGGGATCTTCACTGTCTCTCCCCAAGGAGTCCAAAAACCCTAAAACACAAAACAGATGTGGAGAAGAAGTCTCAAATGAGTCTGTGAAGCTTGATGCTGTTTCAGATTAAAACTGTGTATCTATGAGGTTCCGGTAGTGCATACAAAATCACCACAAATACATTATTTACATAACTATACATATATGTAGTATAATAATTGTAAACAGAGCTGATTATCATCATCTAAGCAACATGTTATCTAAAAACCGAAATGCTCTCAAATGGAGATATTTGGTGGACATTAAAGCTGCACAATTAATGTGTTAAGTCATTTAAAGTAGTAATAAAGTAATGGCACTTAAATCATTGGATAAAATGGGAACAAAGACAATAATGAATACCTTGTGCACGATGCCAAAAACTCCTGAGCCAAGGGCTTTGATTTTCTTCAGCTCCGAGGGCCTCAGGATGCGAGCATGAACCTTGGTACCTTTCTCTCCAGGACCCAGAGGCTCAAAGCTCTGCCAAAAAATACAAATAACGGTTCATTTGTCTCACTCTCTGTAACAAATGCATGTAGTGAGGGCAGCTCATGAGGTTGAATGGTCTCACCTCTCCACTCTCCAGGTATCTCCTCATGGCTCTCTTGCGGCGGATGGCCAGGCCTCGGTGGTACAGCACGCCCAGGAAAAACAACACCAGGCAGAAAATCAAACCAGCCGGGACGCCTAGAGCTATGCCTGTGATCTGACCACTGGAGACGGGAGAGATGCATAGTGGGGATACAAGCGGAACATCAGAAACAGGGCTTCACATTCATATTCATTATTCACTGACTGTAGTAAAAACAAAAATGTGTAAGAAGTGGTGAGTGCATGAAAAACAAATAACATCTATCAGGGTACATTTTTTCAAATCCTAAGTAGTTTACTATAATGTCCAGTGTACTTGTTATTCATTTACATCACTTTTTTAGTTCTTGCATTCATTTTGTGCATGATTTTTAGGACAAACAACTTCTCAATGACGAGGTCAAAGGTCGCAGGCATAGCTAAGCTCACTTACTGGTAGCACCCAAATGATATGAACTTTAGGATTCATGCAACTACTAGAACAAATTGAAAGAAGCATAAGACTTCACAGATCGAATTTCACCTTGGTCTGTACGGTAGGGAGGATTAATCCGTTTCTGTATTTATATTTTCCACTTTTAGTTTTGTTTATATTCAGTATCATTATGATTTGTCTCATTAAAGTCTCAAATTAAACTTAAAGGTTCAGGTGTGCAGTCTGTAAAGTTATTAGTCCATGCATCACATTGCAGTGTAGTGTTTTATATGCACCAGCAGGGGGAAACACTCACCTGCTGACTGCCAGTCTGACTGCCTCTAAACAGTCATTCAGTCCTGGGCCTGAGCATCTGTCACAGATCAAATCATTGATTTTAATTTTGTTACACAGATGGACACAATAAAATACAAACATATATTTTGAGTCCAGTCTCACCCCTGTGTGCAGTTGTGGTGACATGGTTCACAGTGACCCTCCCTGTTTGGGTATTTGAAGATCAGTCCTCTCTGTCCATCGTTCACTCCCGTGGGACAAGAGGACATGCAGTACGGCCCGTCTCGAAGGTTGGCACACGCCACACACTGGTCTGCACCCTGTCAGAGGAAAACAGGACATTGAGTCATTGAGTATTCTAACCTGAAATGAACCAAAGTATACTGCAAGTATACTGCTTTTGTGCAGTACTTATAGATTGATTCCAACTACGATTTAGACCATATGTTACTGCATATGATTTTTTATTATATATTGGGTAAAAGGTGGAAGAGATTGATGAAAAAAATGTCTTAATGGAAGTAATCAACAGTTTTGACAGTATTTTGTTAAGATCTGTTGCAGATTTTACATTTGGGTGGACATTGTGCCAAGGGCATCAGAAGTATAAAGTAGTTCAAAATCAAATTAGTTTTCATGGCCATCATTTTTTTGGCAAAACATAGCTCATCTTCTGACGGTATTTATGTTACTGCATCAAGATTTAAGGTTTGGGTTCTGAGGTGGTGAGACACAGTAAATCAAACTGAAATTAAAGGAAACATTTGATTTTGAGGGTTTGTGAGTGTGACATGTCCCTGCATCCCGAGTGGAAATTAGACCCTAGCACTCTAGTAAAGGTATAACTTTTTTTAAACCTTTAAAAAAAAAAAAAATGCCCCCTAAAAACACAATGAGTGGGTATAAATAATTCATATAAAGGCACTAGGCCCCAGTTTACAATCAAACAAAGTGATTACCGGTCCAGTACAGCTGTCTTTCCCCCTCTGAGGCTTACACTCAGGATGACAGGCGACACACCCGCCATCAGATCCAGCAAATTCCCTTGGAGCTCTGGGGACACAACATAAAAAATATATAAAGTCAGAGTCAGATTCATTACCATAACACACAATCAGTCAGAATATAAACACATAGATATATCTACTGACCCAGTGTTAAAGTTACAGCTGCCCACACACGTGCCGTCTCGACTGAAGTTCCTACAGGAGAGACACTGGTCGGGCCCCGAGTCCCAGCACCCTGAGTCTGAACACAGCGGGTCACACACATGGCCCTCTGCAACTGCACACAAAACAATGATGTTTGGAGAATGTATTTTTTTATGACAACAGTATAGCCTTTTTAGTATAATAATAATAAAGAGATTGGTACAGTATATATCAAAGTTTGTTCAGCACAAAGAATAACAAAGGATAAGATGGTTCATTTGTATTATAGGCAGGTTTACAGTGTCTCTCCTCACCACACTCTGCCAGCGGCCGGTTACTGCTGAGTTGGTTTATTCGAACTCTGCGGCCTCTGAACAGCTTGGTCCAGTTCACAGTGTGGTGGAAACAGAGGTTGTTATTCTGACTGATGTACACACTGCCGTCACTGATCTCACGGAGAGAGCGCAGGCCCAGTGAGGTAAGAGTGCGGATGCGCATCACCATCAGAGAAAAGTGCCTTTGGTGGGAGGATGGAGAAGGACAGAGACAAAAATAAATCAGCGAGATAAAACATTTAAATCAGCCAGGGAAATATTTGAAGTAGAGCAAATTCAAGAATTAGTCACACTGCAGCTTTTGATTACAGTTATTGGGATCACACACACACACACACACACACACACACACACACACACACACACACACACACACACACACGCGCGCGCACACACACACACACACACACACAACACACACACACACACACACACACACACACACACACACACACACACACACGCGCGCGCACACACACACACACACACACACACACACACACACACACACACACACACACACACACACACACACACACACACACGCACACACACACCACACACACACACACACACACACACACACACACAGCAGATAGGAGGTGTAGATGTTATGTGAGAGTAGTGATGGCATATGCTTATGCAACACACTTTATGTCTAATACAGAGAGATATCATGTTTGGCAAGAACACAAGAATAAGAATCAAACTGAGGCATAAAGAACATTTATTTTAAGTTACATGAAATCATTGTGGCTTTTATTCCGTTAAAATAAATGCTCTTGTTGACAGATTATTAGTTGTATCAGGTTAATCTTTTGTCCTTTACCCAACTTCTGCTTGGTCATCTTCAACTTACACAATAATAAACAACCAGTGCTTGTGAATGAGCCTTACTTGAAGAGCGACCTCCCTTGAATGGTTGTGAGACTCGAGAAAACGGACAGGTCATTCAGTTCTTTGGGCCACGACTGGATGTTCAGGATATCTGATAATAAAACACAGTGAAAGCATTCAAATACAAGGTCAATTAAGGTTGATATAATTGTTTTTGTCCACCAGAAGCATTTTACATGTACTGTAATGATGTTCTTCCAGATCATTAGATGGATAAATGCAATAGGCATAGAAAACAACACAACACACATTCTGCCGTATTGTATCCATAACTTGTTTAGTTTACTGTATTTATCAAAAAGCAGACTGAATTTAACTGTGATTAAAATATTGTGCAGTATAAAAAATTGACATTATACTAACATTTATTTTTAAACAATTGTCAACAGGGAATAATGACATATACATTTAAAACGTACTTTGAAAAGTATTATATAGCCATTTTAAGATAAGGCTCAGAAGTAAATATGCCATCACAATAATCGTAATAATTGTTGAGAAAGATAATTCCTTTTCTTGGTCATTTTTGTCTGCATGTATCCGAATCTAGTAATCCATTATTAACAACATCAATCTTCGCTGTATAAACAAACCTGTTATTTCTCTGACGGTGCGAAACACTTCCAACTGTTTGGCATCCAGGGGCGGGATGTTTTTAAAGTCATCTCTGAGAAGAATAAAAACAAGGTCAAATTAACAAGCCGCCTGTACATCACTACACTTAAAGATCCTTCAGGTAGGACAAATACAAATTACCCAAGAATCCCTGTGACCAGGAAGTGAAGGCTGCCCTGGATCTTGGTGCAGTTAATGAAGCTGTCGATGTTGCTGGAGTCCACCGTCTGTCTGTGTTCAGCGCCAGTGCCTTCACACACTGTAGGGAGGACCAAACACTGTCATTATCTCTCAGGACTGACTATAAACTCAGTCAAAAAGTAGAAAGTATTTATTAAGTGTCAACCTTTTGGACAGAGTCCGCTGCAGAGCTCACACTGCTTCTGGCCTTCTCGCTCCACCTCCATCTTACCTGGAGGACAAACGCTCACACAGGAGCTGTCGTCCACCACAAAATGTGCTACAAGGAGGAAGAAAAAAACCCTGTTAGGATTCAGGCTTGCAATATCAGGAAGGTTAACATATAAGACACCATGTTGAGTATCAAACACTCACTGGGACACTGGGAGACACAGATGGACCCATACTGATACTTGGCATTGGGGTTGGTCTCCATTTGAAACGTCTGCTTGTTATAGATCAAAGTCTGGGGACACTGGGGCACACAGGCTCCAGAGTCGTTGAAATGACGACATGCCTACACAGGCACACACACACACACACACGCACAGGCACACACACACACACACACACACACACACACACACACACACACACACAACACACACACACACACACACACACACACACACACACACACACACACACACACACACACACACACACACACACACACACACACACACACACACACACACACAAACAGAATGAGATGTGAGACCCATTTGAGAAGAGATTGTAAGAGATTGGTGAGGGCGGTATTTGCCGTCCAAATTGCAAAAGAACAAGGTAGATGAACAAAACAAACACTTTATCAGCTTAACATCAGAGAACATCATGTTACCTAAAGGCACAGATGTCGCTAAAGGCCTACAAACTCACAGCTGCTAGCATGGCTGTAGACATGTTATGTTGTCAAATAAACTAAACCAGAAGTTACAAATATGGAAATATATTTTAAATTATAATCTCCATTTGTTTTTCCTTAAGCAGCTGCCTCAAATATCAGATGAAACAAAAGAAGAGGGTTTTGAAAACAGTTTGCATGCACAGCTGTACGTTGATGACAAACATAAAGTGGGTGTAGCGTTCAAAGTGAGCCATTGTCTGCAAGGGGATTTCCAATCTACACTATTGTACACAGTATTACTGTAACGGAAATGTGTAGATGCATGGAAAAACCAGACTCGTTCGTTCCATAGTTTGTAATTGTAAAGTCCTTTCAACAAGTGTGAATATAACAGTAAAATAAAAGGAGTGAAGGAGTTTGGGGAAAAGGCTTCTTTACAGCTTATTTTTTACTGAAGAATAAAAGACCTACAGAGTATAGACTGCCTTTCTCTTCATGTGATCAAAGATGGAGTACTCACAAAACAGTCCATGTCCAGAGGGCCTTTACATCCCGCTGCACACTCTATGTGACAGCAATCCCTGGGGCTCGTCCCAAAACAGCGGCCATTACACTGCGGAGCGCACACCGTCTTAGTCACTGAGACACACAGGAAAGACGGGTTGAACAGAGGTCAGCAATGTGTGTGTGTGTGTGTGTGTGCGTGCGTGCGTGCGTGCGTCCGTCCGTGCGTGCGTGCGTGCATGTGTGTGTGTGTGTGCAGAGAAAGAATGAGGGACACAGAACAATTGGGCACTCACAGATCTGACACTGGTCCTTATTTGGCCCCCAGCAGTAATCTCCACAAGCTTTGTGGCAGGGGCCTGAGATAGAGGGAAAGAGAGGCATTACGTAAGAAAGGGACCAATTTATTATTTGGGATTTGAGATTATTTGGGGACGTGTGTAATAGGACTATTCTAACACCGACCTCTCTCTCCATTGAACTGGATTTCAATAGGAGCACTGTTGTCCCTAATGATATCTTGCCAGAAAATCCAGGGGCCATAACTCAGGTATTTGTTGTTGATAATCTGCACTCCTCCCTCCAGAATCTCTGTGAAGAAATGGTGAGAAATGATGCTCAAAGAGAGAGCAGACAGGACATGTTAAGCAGACACTTCAGATAACGAACATGTTACACACTCCATGCTTCTGTTTAATCTCTAAACCCTCTTTTACCTGTCAGATTAGCGAGTCCTAGCTGCCGCAGGCCGTTGGAGCCGTCCTTGGGATAGTTAAAGAAGACAGAGAGGGCAAAGCGTCTCTCGTAAAGGCTGTTTCCTCTGATGACCCGAAGTTGGCCTAGAGGAATCTCTTGGAAATGGTTCATGGCAATAAGGACGTAGCCAGTCACCTCTCGGATTGTCTGGAGGGGAAAAAGAAGAGCACGCTTAAACACCTTCTACATTTCAATCAGGGGAAAGAAAGGAGAGGATTTTTACCTTGAGGTAGGAAAAGTCCCAGTTACTCTCAATCTGAGTGATCTCCAGGTTTCCCATGATGATCTCACAGCCATCATATCGTTCCTTAATCAGATTGTACTGAATCTCCTGAGAACCTGTGGAGCTCAGTCCGTTCTGCGTACCTGAACACACCACTGACATACAAGAGACACACATATTACTCTAAGTTTGACAAAACCAAGGAACACTCAAAGGGTGGTTCAGGGGCAGACTAAGAGAACTGTGTGTATCACTTTTACTTTACGATGTTTAAGGACTCTTTGCATGTTAAGCCTGTTTGCTACATATCCAATTGACTTTATATCACAGCTTATTAAATGTCAAACTATGCCCTTGTATTTTCGCATTTATTTTTCCTGTCTGAGTTCCATTCATCTCTGTAATGCTTGATATAATTTAGCAGACAATTAAAGCTTTTTTCATTGTGTGTCATCAAGTGTGTATTTGCTCACAGTTACACGGCCATTGCAACATGATGCACTGCAATAAAATGTGTGTGGTTTGGACAAAGAATAACATAGATAGACTGTGATGCATTGCTTGATTAAATCAACATTTAAGAGTTGAGTCTGCTGCTTTGAGTGGTAAAGGAGCTAAAATATACAAAAACACGTGTATGGTACTTTAAAGATGAACCAATGATGAGTGTTTGAGATTTGGCGTTATTCGGTTTCTGCTGTATTTATGGGCGTGGTGAGTCTAGTCTGATATTGTGTGTGTGCTGCTGTGTTGGCTGGAGAGTTCGATGTGAAGCACAGTGAAACAGGCAGGCTGAATCCCTGGTACGTGAAGCAGGCCTGGGGCTGATGGAGTGGATGGAGGGTCGAGGCAGAGGGGCTTCCTCAGACAAAGTTCCTCATTGTGATAAAGCTATAAATGTGGACTGTGTGTCCCAGTGACTGAAGAGTGATGCAGTGACAGTGGCTCTGTGTGTGTGCATGTGCGTATTTATGTGTGAGTGTGTCTGCTTTGCTGAGATCATACCCACAGACAATGGGCCGTGTGTGAGTAGGACTTTCTGGCAGAGGGAAGGGAAATATCGTGGACGGAAGGAGACATGCACACCATCTCGTACTCATCAACAAAAACTGTGGCACTGGCCCTTGTGTGCAGAGATAAGACACCTGCTCGTCAACACAAGACACGTTTCCTGTCTTTGTTGAGAATATGCAAAGGTGTAAAGCAACACTTAAAACATGTATTACCTCTATGAACTGGTTTGTGTGTGATTTATGGAAAAGTGCAAATTGACCGATGACTGTATAGCAACACCCATATCTTCATAGTTATTCATTAATGCATGGGACTGAATATAATAGACACAGCTTATCTAAGAGAGTTTCATTATAATTCAGACTGTTGACACTTTCAATGGAAACAATTAGGGTGTTTAACTTTTAGAAGAAAAATAAAATCATCTGAAGATTTCACAAATGAACATGATCAGGATCCATTGTCTTCAGTAGCTTTTTACAACTGGGGTCATTGCCATGAAGGCTATTTGGTGTCCACTGCTGCCAGTCATCACTAGCAGCATATAAAGTGGTGATATATTGCTGCCTTAAGAGCCTTGATTAGAGCCCATAACAGTAAAAAGGCTCTCGAGCAGGAGAGCACAGTGAGTGCTGTGTGAGGATGGACAAGGGAAAGCAGAGTTGAGGGTTTAGAAAATATAGACCCCTCAACAACATTCTCAATTAATTATTTGATCCTTTTCTATTCTAGTCTATTCTCTATCAGTTATCTTTTGTCCTATGCCATTCCATAAAATACAGACTATAAAAGAAGCTGTGACCTTTAAAGGCAGCCAAATGCAAAACCAAGTAGCCATTCAAGCAAGACAAACAAAACATCTTTTTTTTAAGTGAATGATCAAAACAGGCTTCACACGTTTTCTGACAAGGAATGATAAATCCCCCTACCTTCATGAGTCTGGGATGATGCTGTTTCCAGCCTCCATGATAATGACACACACACAAGTATGACTCCCCACGAGATCATCTTGTCGATGTTGAGCCTATTTAGTTAGATTGTATCACATCACACAGGTTTAAGTAGTTCTCCAGGTAGCCAATGTTGTGTAGGAAAGTGTGGATGTAAACAAAAATAAAATGTTCAGGGCTCCCTCTCTGAAAAAATCCAATATCATTAAATCAAAATGAAGCAGAAATGCAACTCCTTCTTTAAAACGTCGCACAAAACATCAGTAATAAGACCAGATAAATCGCGCCAATTGCAAAACTGAAAACAACGAACAAGTGGCAGTTTATTTTGACGCTCGGCCCCCCCTCCCCTAGAGGCACATGTGATTGGCCAGGAGCCCGATATATTGACCAATCAGAGGTTGGTCCGTCGTTTTTTTACAAGCTGCTGCATAAAGTGTTGCATTTAGCATCAAACCGGCTAACATCCTCTTAGATTAAAGCAGAATATTTATAAAGAGATTGTTTTTGTTCCCCTCAACAAATAATGTACCTCACAACGAACACATTAGGAAAATATAAAGCTGAAAAACACTTCAATTCATGCACTTTTACTTACGCCAAAATGACTGCATTTGTGCATACACTAATGATGATATGCAGATTATTATATGGCAAAGAAATGCGTGTGATAAACTTTTGCATGTGCATCCATGTGAACAACGTGGACCCTATATGTCCCTTTATGTGCAGTTATTTTGGTTTCATGTTGTCAGCTGCTGTGTGGAAGCAGTGTTGGGGTCTCCCAGTAGCACCCAGTGCAGTGAGTGGCTGCACTGTTTCCCCTGTAAAGAGCACTATTGTCCCCACAGCTCTGTCAACTGGTTAATCACTTCTTTGATGCGTATGGAGCGGCCTGTCACAATGGGCCACATTGTCAGATGGTCAAGTGACTTCTGAACCCTAAACAAGAAAATGCTTAATTTGAGAAAATGGTCTCAAAGCAGACGAGATTCCTGAACATGGAGCAGCAAGTGAAAAGTGGACGACTCACTAATGGATAGATAATCAGTAACTGATTCCGACACATGTACTGTTAATCAGATTTTGTATGAGAGACAGATAGAAGAACAGTTGCTGTTTGTTAAGAAGTATCGGGAATTCAAAACATATTCAATTGTAATTATTATCTGTTTTCAATGAAAATGTGATTGTAATGTTGATCTCTTGATCCATCTGATATGTTCTTAAAGCCACTATATACAAAAGAATGATGATGATAATTACTGTAGCATGGTTTAAATTAACAGTAATTATCTGTGCCTGTAATATTAAATGACATTTAAAGCTGTCCATAATCTGTTTCTGTCCAGCAGGGGGAGACAGAGACAGAGGATTCAGAGCTCAGATATCAGATCTGCCTCAGGGCCAGGAGGAGGACTCTCTGGCCCTGTTTGCACCTACAATGATGGTTTTACATAAATATTATTTGACCCATACCAATACATATTTTATTAAAATCAACTGAGACTCGTCCAGTTGCCTCTGTAATGATGCAACACTTTGCTAAATATTTCTCAGTATGTTGGAAAACATTTTCACAACTTCATTCAATTAAATAACATCTGTGTGATTCTTCCATTCTTGCTCACTTAAAAAGTATAAAGTGAAAATATCAGTGGAAATTAACAGATAAGTGTTCAGGGATTATTTTCACATTCTCTATTGTCAGGGCAAGAAAAGTTGCTTCAATAAAGGCCTCCATGGTTTCTGCAGTCAGGCAGTTTTGCGTCGCCACCATGGTGTCCCCTTCAGTGTCCCCCTCAGTGTCCCCCTCAGTGTCAGCCTTGGTGGCCCTGTCCCTTCCAAGGCGGGCTGTTGGGGGGACTGCTGTGGCCTTTTGCAGAAACCACTCCCTTCAGAGATTGATGAATTGATTGTGGGGCTGCTGCCAGTGTGTCTGTGCCCTGGGTGAAGGCGTCCCGGTTACGGGTGGGAATCCCAGCTATGGCATCCGCCCTGGGGCTACTATTGTGGCCGTCCTGCAGGGGGCCCTGGGGGCTGGTGGCCCTGGGAGCAGCTCTGACCCACATACTGCTGTCACACCCCTGGAGACACAGCGGCAGTCTCCCCTACATGGCCCTCGGATTGGCCCAGACTAAATGACTCTGTGTGGAGCGCTGCAATTCCACAGGGAAACTACCTGATTGTGCCAAACTTCTTTTGATGGCAGCAGTTAGGAAAGGCCAAAAGAGAAAGAGGATAAAGATACATGTTCCTCCCACCTCTTTACCAGGCTCTTTTCAAGACTGTGGCCCCCAGGACATTCAACAATCGAGTTTTTCGATTTAATTGTAAGAATGTTTCTCCGGTTTTTCTTTGATAAACAGACACAAATAATTATTTTAGAGTATTTTTTGTATCAAAACAAATGTGTAAGGGATAATTTATTCAAAGTGGGCAAAAGGCTGAGATCTAAGCATAGTTAAATAAGCACCATCTCATAATGTCTTCACGGAGGAGGCAATTAACAACAAGGGAACAATGAGTAAGGCAAAGCAAAAGTGTGTTTTTATATTTTTATTGATTGATCCACATAGTGCCAGAAATCATTAAATCATTCAACACTTTTGCACCAGTACGCGTTGTTTTTATTTCCTCCTCTTGATAATATTCCACTCAATTACATAATCCATGTTCAGCTTAAAATAAACCTTATTAGTTGGAATGTTCTGCACTTTGTTTTTCTACATTTTCCTAGTGGATATCCACCAATAGTCATTGAAAGAAGGTTGTTTAGCCAACACAGTATAGTGCATCAGTGTTGCAGATCATAGGTGAGATACTCAAATGTTGAACATTCTGACATACAAACCGGTTATCAAAGAGAAAATAAAAACACTGGCATTATAAGGCCACAAAAACAATTTTCACACCAAACTGAACGTAATGCACATCACACACGCAAGCTGCTGTCAGTTATACATATCTGCCAACACACTGACCCCGAATCTATGTGTATCAACAACACTTTCAATTTGACCGCAAATACCATGGTTTACTCTTCTTGTTACATAAACCTATATACAGTTGCGCTGACATAGAAAACCATGCTTTTGCATATTAGAAGTTTGTTTGGTAAACTTTACACTAAATCCATAACATTTATCAGTACAGCATTGTTCCAACCGAACCAGCAGCATTAATTAAGACAAATATAGTCTGAGGAAACAGTCTATTATAATTCACTTTTATTACAGATCTTGTACAGTATTAACATGCCTTATGATGCAGTATTACGATTATCCTCTCTCATATTTTTTCAAATCATGGGGTTTGTGAGAACACGCCAAAAGACAACTGTATGAGCTAGAAAGCAAATCAGGAAACAACACAAAATCAACACTTGCCTTTTGGTTCAAAATAAATGAATACTCCATTCAAACAGACATTACATTTTGTACAACGATAATGCATCTAGAGATATTTTGTGCAACATAATACACAGAAACACTAGAAACACAACATTTCACGCCAATCAGGTATGAATAAATCAGGATGACAAGCAACATGAGTTCTGTTGACGGATATATTGCAGCTGCTCGCACAAACTGACTTAACAAATAAACATTCGTAAACTATGTAAGCTGTCTGATATTGCCAATCACATGCTCTGCTGCATCACTCTCAACAGGCCAATAGCAGTGTTTTTTCTCCCTAAGCCACAGAGCTGGTACGATGTGCCTGTTCTGTCATCTGTATCAGTTCAGCTATCACACCTCGCTGACGCCAGACAAATTGTTTAACCCTTATTTAGCCAGGCACGTCAAGTAAATCTGTATTTACAGCAGCGGCCTGTACAGCTTTCACAAGCCCACAAACCAGTACTGGGGTCTTCTCCATCTCCATGCAGACTGGGAAGTAACATACAGTGATACCAGGGCTTCTTTTTTCACTAGCTGCCTTAGCAGTAAATGCATATTGCAATAAAGGGAGAGAAACCACACGATGCACTTAGAAAATCTAAACAAATGTAAGAATAAATAAATAAATACATGTCAACAAAAGTATAAATAGTTTAAGAATTTCCAGTTTGTCATCAAGTGTTGTTTCGAATAAAATAAATAAAAAGAATAAACACATTTGCATATAATTATTTTACAGCACAAAATGAGCTCTGAAGCACATAGGTTTGTGGCAAAACAGAAGTATGGACAAAAAGACAATTTTACATTTATTAGAGCCTGTCTGAGTAAGATGTTTTAAACAACGTTATATTATTCTGAGATAGTAGTAATAGTAGTAGCTCCACTTATACTGTTATGACATTCTTTATAATTTACATAGGTTTAGTGTATCAGATGGGTGCTTTATGAGTCTATATCGTCATTATTCAGAAAAAGTTAAAATGTGATGGAGGTCAAAGAGTCTGCAGAGTAGGGGAATGTATATGCTTTTACAATAACAAATGTATGTATTCAGCATGTAAGTCATTTAGGTCAACACCATTGGTTTGTTATCCTTAAAAAAATGCTCACTCCAGATCCAAACAATTTAAATTGATTATAATAAAAGAAGTGAAACAAGTATTTTGGGGGGAGAAAGCCATTGAGAGTCACCCCCCTGGGGGCTTTTCAGCACAGCCTCTCCATGTAAACTCAATGGATCCACTTAATCCCTAACCTGGGAATGGCACCCAGGCTCTTCCCCACTCCACTGACCTGATACCTCACTTTTTGTTTTTCAGCTGATTGGCCAGCCAGTCCAGGCCCTCGTACAGACCGTCTCCACTGGTGGCGCAGGTGGCCTGGATGTACCAGTTGCGATGGCGTAGGGAGTGTAGACCCAGCTTATCTGTGATCTCTGCAGCATTCATTGCATTAGGCAGGTCCTATAAGGGAATCCCATCAGGTGGGTCAATCAGGAGGTCTGAGTCGGTATAAATGTGCAGAAAGAATTGAATGCAGATGAGGGGAATTGATGGAGGCTATACCTGTTTGTTGGCAAAGACAAGAAGAACAGCATCCCGCAGCTCGTCCTCAGCCAGCATCCTCATCAGTTCCTCCCGAGCTTCGTTTACACGCTCACGGTCATTGCTGTCCACCACAAAGATCAAACCTGCAGGGACAAATAAGTGTATTCTTTAAGGGTTAAATACATTAAAAAGTTCTACTGTGCCAGTATCACTTTCATCCCATGGTTTAACAATATGCTGACGTCATATTGCTTAATCCATTTTTTTTATTG